AATGGGACTCATTTCAAAAACAGTCTTGTCACTGACTGGGCTAAAGAGCATGGTATTGAATGGATCTACCATATCCCATACTATGCACAAGCCTCAGGGAAAGTTGAAAGATATAATGGTTTGCTGAAAGCTACCCTAAAGGCGATGATGGGTGGAGGAACTTTCAAAAATTGGGACAGAAATTTGGCAAAGGCCACCTGGTTAGTTAATACCAGGGGGTCCATCAATCATGCTGGGCCTGCTCAATCAAACCTTCTACATACTGCAGATGGGGATAAAGTCCCTGTAGTTTGTGAAAGAAACCTGTTGGGCAAAAGTGTCTGGGTCTATCCTGCTTGAGGCATAGGCAAACCTGTTCAGGGTATTGCTTTTGCTCAGGGACCTGGACATACCTGGTGTGTGATGATGGAGGATGGTGGAGTACAGTATGTACCTCAAGGTAATCTGACTTAGGGAGAGAATCCTTAATTTGACACTTGGTAAGGTACAGAGCCTATATGTAATGTATGGTATGGAATAAGGGGTGGAATGTCCTGGTTTGAGCCAGGACTAAGCCAGTTTTTCTTTTGCTGATTTCTTTTCAGTGAGCTTTCTTCAACTAGCAACTGCGTGTTCTGCTAGGTTGATAAGGCACTGGAATGTTTTTGTAATTGCTGGGCCCTCAAGGTTGTGCCTTTGCTCTGCCGGCTCAGACACTGCGGGGAGATCTGTGGCCCCCCGTGGGAGGCTGAGTTAGAGGGACAGCAAAATGGGCCAGAGGTTTTCCATCCCATATATCTACATAGGCTCAGGGGGAAGGTTGGAGATGACAGAAAAAAACTTCCTTCCTTCCTTCTTCCTTCTTTCTCTCTCTCTCTCTCTCTCTCTCTCTTCTGTCCACGGTTGGCGTCCGGGGAGAACTCCATCCATCCATCATCGTCGACCCATCAACCTGGAGCTCTCCTGACCCTCATAACTCTCCGCCTTACTCCAGCAGAAGCTCCGGGATCCCTCGGAACTGTCCCATCTCTGAGGAAAGTGCTGTGGGAGTTGTTGGGGGTGGGGGGAGGTGAGAGGTTTTTGCCCACATCTCTGTATAATCATATATATATTCTCCTGTCACCCATTAGTATCCTAATTAAAGCTGTGTAGTTCAGTTTTCAATCTAGCCAAGTCTCTCTCTTTTTCTCTCTCTCTTTCCTTACCTGGGTGGGAGGGGGAGGGGATCGAGAGCATTGTTGTCAAATCTGAGTCAAACAGTGACAATGTACTCATAGATTTTGACGTTGGTGTTATTCTTGATTTCTGGAATGTTTTCCAGTTCACATGCAAGCGCGTGATGGGCCAGCATAGGTGAATGTTTATATCCCTGGGGCAACCTTGTGAAAGTATACTGCACCCCATCCCAAGTGAAGGCAAAATATTTTTGGTCCTCAGGATCAATAGGGATTTGGAAAAACATATCCTTTATATCCAGCGCGGCCAGCACTGGGTGTGCTGCTTCCTGGATTTCTAGTACCAAATCAGCAATGTTAGGTACAGCAGCTGTGAGTGTGTCTGTATTGGCATTCAATTTCCTGTAATCAACAGTCATCCTCCATTTACCATTTGGTTTTCTTACAGGCCAGATTGGGGAGTTAAATGATGAATGACTGGGCACAATAATGCCTTTTTGTTTTAAATCAGAAATTACTTCTTTAATGCCTTCCTTTGCAGCAATTGGGATGGAATATTGTTTCACATTTGTTATCCTGCTTTGTGGCAGGCACAGAGCACACTGCAACAATCTTACCTTTGGTATGGGTGTGCCAAAATTCTAGCAATGGCCTTCTTCATCTCTCCACTCTCGGCCCATGAGAACATCCATTCCTAACAAATTGAAAGGAATGTCACCCACAATCATTTCAGCCCGAATCGGTTTTTCTTCTCCTGGTAGATTTAAAGTGACTTTAGCTGTTTTTTGTAAAGCAGAGTTGCCAAATGCTCCACTTACATATATTGGCTTTAGAGATGGTTTAATACCACATTGTTTAGCTACATCAGCTTTCAGCGTGGAAATTTGTGCTCCTGTGTCTACCACAAATGTTACAGGATAACGCCTTGGCCCAACGACACAGGTAAGTTCTAAGTCCCCGTTTTTATTTTGAACTAATCTTAGTACATTCTGCCAATCTTTTGGAGGACTGCAAGTTTTAGGGCCTAATTGATTACTGTTTGTTTGCCAATAATTTTTAGTTTCTGTATTAAAATCCTGTCCTTTTCCCCTCCTTCTCTGTCTTTTAGATTTTCTTTTCTTTGCAGAAGGAGGGGTATTTAGTTTCCCGAGCTATTGGATCTTTCTCTCCATCTCTCTCTCGAATTAGACTGTGAGTTAGGCCTTCTAGACTGATTTTCTCTTGAATTAGACCTCGAGTTAGGCCTTTTAGGCCAATCTTCTATTAGGTCTTTCCGGTGCTGGTAAGAATAATTCCGAGACAAAAGCCTCGGTGTGATACCTATATGCCTGGCCTCCTCCTTAAGCTTAGCGTACGGCCCCATGTCATCTTGTGATGAAGCACGTTGATTTTCGGGGCGGTGGTTTCTATGTGTGCTATTCGGTTTTCTGTTTTGTTTACCTCTATTCACTCTCATTACATATTCAGCTTCCATCTCAGATGTTAGCCTGCTGTATTGTTTTCTAATATTTGCCAGTTCCATTGGAGTGTAAGGTATTTCTTTAGTTACTACCTCTTTTTTCTTGCCAGTAACTTCTCTGTGAGAATATGAAGTTCTCACAACTGGGCACAAATGTTTATATTTCACTCCCTCCCCCATCTCATCCTCAGAACTATAGGAAGAAGATGAGTGGATTGAAATGTCTTCCTCCCTAGCAGAAGGTTGATTGTGTTTCTTTTCCAGGTTGTGCATTTTTTTAGCAAGGAATTCATACAGCTCCTTTATCTCAGCTACTGAACTCTCCAGCTTGACATCGGCCAGAGAGGGGGGAGGGAGCAGCTGCACGGTGGCTTGCTGCTTTTTTGATTTCAAAAGGGAAGGATTGAGTATTTCTATTTTATCATTAAAAGATGAATGCTTCTTAACTGACTGGTCAGGTAAGGGCACCTGCGACGATCTTATGGGCTTGCATTTTTTTATTATCTTAAGGCAGTCCTGGGGCTCATGGTTCGTGCTATCTGACTCTGAGGAATTTGAGGAGTCCAAGGCATCCCCAAAGTCCTGCTCCCTCAAAGGGGGAGCATCCTTTTGTTTTAACTGCTCTCACAGATGTTCAATCTCTTGTTGTAGCCCCTTATTTTCCTGTTGCAGTTCTGCATACTCCTGTTGCACTTTTATGCATTCTTGCTGCAGCCCTGCGATCACTTGTTGCAGCCCTTTATCTTCCTGTTGCAGTCCTGCAGACCCTTCATTCACTTCTTGCAACCTATAACATTTTTGTTGCCACCTCTAATTTTCTTGTTGCAGCCTTGCAAACCCTTGCTCAAAACCTTGCTGCAGCCCTATGAACTCTCACTGCAGCTTTGTGATGTCTTGCCGCCGCTTTTCCCCATCGTGCCACGCAACTGTGACCAGGGTAAAGAAACAGCGGGCATTAATATAATCTATCCCATATTTCTTTATACCCTTTTTTACGCCTCTAGGAAAAGGGAAATCCTTATCCAATCTTATAAGGTTATCTACAATGATATGGAAGTCTCCCTTCATATAGGCCCCTTAAGTCCACATAAATTCTCCAAAGGTTGGAAGGTACTGGCGCACAAGCGCATATTTGCGCAGTTCCTCCTCAAACAGAGAAGGTGATGGAGACGACCTGTCCTGAACCTTGATATTTTCATATTTTCTGCATGAATGGTGTCTTCTGCATGAGTGGTATTTTCAGCACAGCCAGCCTCAGCATTGGTACTCTCGGTGCTCAATTTGATACCAAATGTAGTAGCTTTTTTTTTTTTAGTTTATCTGTTAATTAGCAATTGAGAGCGTGGTATGGGGGCTCCAAAAGACCCTCAATATCCCACTTCTGACACCAAAATATCACGGGCCGATATTGGGGGGCTACCGGCTGTCAGGATGTTTCCGCAACTTCCCTCCCCAATGTGGAGAGGTTTGTGAATGAGACCGAGGGTCACACGTGGCGCTCGCCTCTCAGAGGAACGACCACTGTGGGACCGTATCTTAGAGGGTAGTTTAGAATACCCTCTCACCACGCTCACAAATTGTTACTGAGACCAATGTTTAGTTTACGAATTAATCAGTTTTTTAAGGGTCAACACAAACTAAGGGATCAAGATTCAGGAGAGGTTGTCTAGGTGTATATCGGAAAAGGGATTCAAAGGTACTATGGTCTTATTAAATGCACACTCCGCGGGGGGGGGGCAACCACGCTCAGTAGCAGCAGCTGCGGCAAGCACTGCTCTATTCCTGAGGCAGGTGGCAAACACAGGCTGGGCAAGCTCTTACTTTGATCCAGTTTAGTTTAGGCTGGGCAGGCAGGGTCCCTGGGGAGCGGGCACAATCCCCGCGGAGCAGGCACAGGCGGCCTCCCCCCCTTTCCGCTTCTTCAGGCAGCAGGTGCGTGGCAGCCCCCCCTTTCCTCTCAGCTCCTCCGGACAGTGAGGCTGGCGTTCCAGGCAGGTTCTGGTACTGCAACAGGGTCTTGTCCTGGTTAGGAACAGAGCACCAGCCTGCAGATCTTGCCCTCTTTTATAGATCAGAAATCACTGATCGAGAAAGTACCACTCTTCAAATTAGCCAATTAGCACTGGCCAGGTACGTACTCTGTCAGAGGCATCTTTAACCTTTTTTCCATTTTTCTGCCGGTTATCATAACCCTTATGCTGTTTTCTTGCTGCGGACTTATCTGGTAGAGCAAGAGGCCTGTTCCAGTCTGTCCTTCACTAAACCAGCTAAAAGACGCCACTCTTGTTTTGCTGGCTTGAAAGGCATTTTGTTTAGTCTTGTGTGGGGAGAGAGAAGATGGACCATTCCCCACACTGCTATATAAAAATACTTTGGTTGCACTTCAGGCGATATGAAGAGGATATGTACTGGAGAAGAATGGAGGAAGAGCAGCATCACTGGGATGACCATCACAGAATACCAGATGGAGGATATCCTCATGGTTTTCCAGGACCTCTAGGCCTGCTGGGAGTTAGACCAGGAATGCCTCCTCAGCCCCAAGGACCATCTGTGAGTTTCTTAACTTGGGGAAGGAGGGGGAAAGAAAAAAAGTCATACTTACCAGGAGGCACAGTTAAGAACTACTGCTACTTCATTTTCTGTGGTGTTTCTTAATAAAGAATTTGGAAAAGTGTTGAAAAAATTATATATTAATGAAACTTTGTAGATGGACCTGTCTTCCAAAATAAGTCTACTTATATGACGAATGGATGCCTTGAAGACAAATATAATTTCTTCTGAAATGCAAGTCACTCAGGATTTTTGTACTACTTTTATTTTATTTTATTGCATTATACTTTGTCTAATTTTAGACAAATGTATGGGTAAGAAGTGGTTGGATTGTCAGTCCCAGAGGATAATGGTTAGTGGTGGGTTGTACTCTGCCTGGAGGTCAGTAACAAGTGCAGTACCACATGGGTTTATCCTGTTTTTTTTCTCATTAGCACCTCATTAATGATCTGAAATGTGATAGAGTGAGTGCACGCTTGTCAGGTTTGCACCTGGCACAAAACTGAATTGGGTTGGGGTGGGGGGAACAGTTGATACCTTTGAGGGCAGGGGTGCCATCCAGAGGGACCTAGACAGATTGGAGGAATGGACCAACAGGAACTTTATGGAATTCTGCAAGGACAAATGTCTAATGCTGCACTTGGGAAGGTATAACCCCTTGCACTGAGGGTCTGGGGAGTGACAGGCTGCATAGCAGCCCTGCTGAAAGGGACCTGGGGTTCTCGGCAGATAGAAAACTGAACATGAGCCAGCCATGTGCCCTGGCAGCAAAGAAGGCCAACAGCATCCTGGGTGATATTAACAAGAACATAATCAGTAGATAAAGGGAAGTTATCAGCTTTCATTGAACCCAAACTGCAGTACCGCATTCAATGTTGTGCTTTCCAGTACAAGAAAGATACTGATGAACCGTAGCAGGTTCAGTGTGGGGCTGTTGGGATGGTCAGGGGTCTGGAGTGTGTGCCCTCTGAAGAAAGACTTGAAAGATCTGGGCTTGTTCAGCTTGGAGAAGAGAGCTTCAGTGGGATGCAATAGCCTTCTATTATCTGTGCATTATAAAGACAATGGAGCCAGGCTCTTTACAGTTGTGAGGGAGTGAGATACAACCAGCTTAAGCTGAGACAAAAGAGGTTCAGACTGAATACAGAAAATATGTTTTTTCACCAAATGTTGTGCAGCTTTCATCTTTGGAGGTTTTCAAAAACCGACTGGATAAAGCTCTGAGCAATGTGATATAGTCTTATAGGTGACCATGGTTTGCACGGGAGTGGACTGGAGGACTTCCTGAGGTCCCTTCGTATTTGAATTCTTCTTTGATTCTATGAAAGCAATCATGGATACTTTATTTTGCAGCAGTATGCAAGTATTTCCCAGTTAACTGAAAGACAACAGATATTTATGTTGGGGAGATGCTTTTGATCCTGGAATTTCATAATTTGTTTATTTTTGATACATTTCATGTTTTTTCAGAAATGATTGATTGTGACCAGTGTAATTTGTTAAGGACACTTTAGTTCATGTTTTGTTACATTTCAATGATTTGAGGTTTGAATATTCTTTTGTTTAGCCACATGTTTAGTTTTTTGTCATATATCATCTATGAAGCTGGAAGTGTACCCAAATTTCAGGCATGGACTTTTTCATCTGTTTAGCCTCTACGCCGTCCTGACTCTGATGACCGTTATGTGATGACCAAACATGCAGCTATATATCCAACAGAGGAGGAACTTCAAGCAGTCCAAAAAATTGTTTCTATTACTGAGCGTGCTTTGAAACTTGTTTCTGACAATGTGATTGACCATGAAAAAAGCAAGAGCAAAGAGGGAGATGACAAAAAAGATGGCAGTACAGACAGGTATTTTTTTCATTATTATTTTTTAATTTAATCACTTGTTTCTTAAGTAATTTTACGTTTTTCCTTGCACTGTTTTCAGTGCTTCCACGGATTCTGTTCTCTTTGGGTTTTGATACGGCATATATCACTATGACCTCAAGAGTATATAGAATACTCTTATTTTTCTGTCTTCAGGATTAGTTTTATGGTTTTTATATTTTTTTAAATGCAGCTTTTAACTATAATTCACAGAGCTTTGAAAGGAGTTTTACGGGTAGGCGTTTTGGCTAAAGGTTTGCTACTCCATGGAGACCGAAACGTCAATCTTGTTTTGTTATGTGCTGAGAAGCCTTCAAAGATGTTACTCAGTTGTATTGCTGAAAATCTTCCCAAACAACTTGCAGTAAGTAGAATTTAGATTTTTGGATTTGAATTTTTTTAAGATATTGTCAAATTCTTTCCTTGAGTCAAATAAATGTCTGCAGGGCTAACCGTGCTGCATTTTGTAGCTCAGGTTCTGTTTCTTTTCATTTTCTGAGTGTTTCTGTCTGAATTCAGAGACTATGCTGCATGTATTGCTTTCTGTATATTGTGTCCATACAAGTGTCTAGCTGTTTATGCTAGTGGTATAGTATCAGTCACTGTTTAATAGATTTCATTTGACTGGGAAATAGAAATGAGCAAAAGAGAGACTATGTCATGGTTTGACTCAGGATCGGCAATTAAACCAGAGACAACGCTCTCGATCCCCTCCTACCCAGGTAGTGAAGGAGAGAGAGAATGTGGGAGAGAGACTCTGGATTGAAAACTAAACTAGACAGCTTTAATTAAACCCTAATAATAAAAGAAAATATATACAATTATATACAAATGTGTTCAGGAATGTGCAAACCCCTATTGCCTCCCCCCACCCCCAGCAACTCCCATGGTGCTCTCCTTAGCTGTGAACAGTCCCAAAAAGTCCCAGAGCGCTGCCGGAGAGAGCGTAGAGTTATGAGGGTCAGGAATGCAGTAGCCTAGGGGTCGACAGTGATGGATAGTTGGAGTCCTCCCTGGACACCAGCCATGGACAGAAAAAAAGGGAAGAAGTAACAGGAAGGAAGTTGTCTTCTGTGATCTCTGACCTTTCTCTGAGTTTACGTGGATATATGGAGTGGAATATCTCTGGCCAATTTTGCTGTCTGTCTAGTCCAGCTTCCTACAGGGCTGTCATAGATACAACTCTCCTTCTCCCAGTAGTTTCTGAGGCGGTAGGGCAAAGACATGACCTTGGAATCTTGGCAGTAACATAAACATTCCAGTTTTATCAGTCCACTAGCTGGAACACTTGCTGCTAGTTGAAAGAGAGCTTACTAAAGGAAAAAAAATCAGCAAAAGGAAAATTGGCTTCATCCTGGCTCAAACCAGGACAGACTATTATCCAGTTACCAGCAGCGATAGAGGTAATTTGTTCAGTGTTACAGGAAGCTCGTGCTGCCTGAAGGTCAAAGTTCTCCATTAATGCCAGTCTTTTTGTACTTACGTCATGTTTCCAATTTGTATGTGTCAGTGCTTTGTAGTCCCACAACTACTTAAACTCAGTCTTGTGTTGTTGTTTTTTAAAATTTGTTACTTTAAAAAAACGCAACAAAACCACCCCAAAAGTACATGCAGTCTTAGACCATTCAGCAGAGTTCATATAGACCATTTGCTGTATTTTTACAATAAGTGAAATTACCGAATAAAGTCTTTAGTTCCAGTGCTCCCTACTGAACAAAGCCTGTCCACCATCATTATAGAATGCTTGTCACAGCATTAGTATTTCAATGCAGTCTTGGCAGAATCGGTGGCATGGTAGAAGCATTAGCAGGATCAGATTAATTAGAAAATAATCTTGGGTTTGTTGTTGTTTGAAATAGCGGAAGAAAATTTTAAAACTGCACTTATTGGCCTGGCTTTGTGGTGAAGTCACTTGTCTCTCTAGTTTGTAGAAGAAGGTGATAGAGGGCCTACAGCTTCCTTTTGGGGATATTTAGAATTATTAATTCTAGTTGCAAGAGGCATTTCTGAATAACTACTTTTGTAAGTAAGTATCTGTCCTGTAACTGCAAGCTTGAAGAACCACTGCATTTTTGTGTTTTTTAAAGGCTCCTATATTTCAATGAAAAACATATCCAACTGGCATTTTAAGTGGCACTGAGGCCACTGGTCTAGTGGAAGGTGTTTCTCCTTGTGGCAGGAGGGTTGAAACTAGATGATCTTTAAGGTCCCTTCCAACCTAAACCATTCTATGATTCTATAACATTTTTGTTATGTAATTTACTTAGTATATTAATTTCCTTTATGGGTAGTTTCTTTTCCTTTGCATGCTTGGTAACTGCTGTGTATTTTCATTAATGATTTGGAAACGGTATGCAAGTCCATTTATATATATAGATATATATCTTCATTGTGTATACTGCTGTTTCTTTGAATACAGAGTTATCTGCTTCGTATAATTATATTGTATTTCTGTCTTTCTATTAAAAAGACTGTGCTGAAATCCATTTTCTTCCCCATACTTTTCTTGGCCACATGCTAATAGAAATTTCTGTTTCTCAATATTTAGGTAATAAGTCCTGAGAAATATGATATCAAGTGTGCAGTCCCAGAAGCAGCAATAATTTTAAATTCATGTGTGGAACCCAAAATGCAAGTTACTATCACACTGACATCTCCAATCATTCGGGAGGAGAACATGAGGGATGGAGGTTGGGAAGCTGTTAAAGATGTTACTTCTTTCACACCTGTTTTTATATGTTTTTATATTCTGCTTAAGATGGCATTAAGGACCTAGAAGGCAACATGCTGGCACAACTAATGTATTTAATCAAAACCTTGTTTTTCAACAACCAATCTTGGTAGAGAACAGTTGCTTAAAATAAATACTTATATGATGCATTTATTTAATTTTTTTAAATTCTAACTTTTTGTCCAACTTCAGCTTTCTGGAAAAGGTACAAACTTGACTCTTCCCCCCAAAAAAAAATTATGTGGAAAACTGAGTATTAAGTATTTTGTAGCAAGTGGCTATAAACTGGCTTTCTAGAGCAGTTTTACCCTAAGAGAAAGATTGTATGGCTTTAGAAAAATCACAAGGTTTTAGGTTTAAACTGGATCAGTATTATCATCACTTACACATTCCAAATAGCAGCGCCACTTAAAATGCAATTTTATAATACTTTGCTGGATTTTTTTTCCAGCTCTCTGAGGTTGCTTTTTAGTCTGGAGTGCTTTTTGAGTATATTTAGGCTCCTGATATTACAGTCTTTTATCCAACTGGCAAACCCAGACTAGTACAATAAGAAATGGCTTTGTTGTTGAGCTGAAGCAGAAGATGGAGCTTGTAAATCACATTACATTTCTGAAGTTCACAGTTTCTCTGGTGCCAGCAGTGTTGCTTTAGGGTCTGTTCTGTAACACTTTCAAAGCTCCAAAAGCTTTTAAGCCAGCAAGCATGATTAATGTCTGCAGTACATTGGTTCTTTTTGTTTATGGGTCAGATGAAATTAACTTTTGTTTCCTTTTAATCCTGTATTTTCATAGTTGAAAGAGATCATGGCAAATATGGTTCTGGTGTTTGACAGTGAACCTACACAATAGAAATCTGAGGCTATCTTAACACTTCTCATATGCAGATTTACAAAATTGTATGTGTGTATGTATACATGTGCTTGTGTATATACGTATTTATATAAGCCACAGAGGCTTTTTTATTTCATCTCATCATTATGATTACATATCCTCTAAAATACTTGAGGTTTTTATATTGCATTAGTAAATGTTCTGTAGCTATGACCAGTGCATTGAAAGCAAGCTGTGTTAACAAAGTCATCCTACATGATCAGAAAGAAAAATTTCAAGATACATTATCTGGTTTGGATGACTTCTGAAGAAAAGAATGCTTTGTACATTATTTTTAACCTATGCATATTATTCCTAGCTATAAAGGCTTTGTACGTGTACTGTCACACCCAACCAATTCTACTTGTTTTTTGACAATCTAAGCGTAACATGACTCTTGGTTTCTCTGTGCTGAATCAAACTTCACATATTATTTAGGCTTATAAAGAATAACTTAAAAGATTTTATTATTAAGTTATGTTAATCATTAAATGAAGTTAACCTTAAACACCATGTTTATTTCTTAATGTACTGTGCAAAAGTGCAATATTGATTTCTGCCACAATACTCAATTGCAATTTTCTGGCCTAAAATTCTGTAATTTCTAAAAATAAATTTCAAATTACTATGATAAATTTCTTAATTTATGCCACCTAAAGGAAACAAATCTGCATTTTTGTCTGACCCACACTTGAATTAAATTATCATTATGAGTTTTTTCACTGCTGAATGCAGTACTGCCTCTAGGCAAGCAAAATCAAGTTAGAATTCTCTTCAAGACATGGAGCAGTATAAAAAGGATGTGCAGAAAAGCTCTTGAAATTAGAGCAAATAGAAGACTGAACTGCAAATTATTGCAGCAAAGAAAGCCTTATTATGAAGACTGCTGCTTATTTGCTGCAGAGTAATAGTATGTGTTTGTGGTTTTTCTTACTGCAGCTTCTCATGCTCTGTCTTACATTGGTTTGAAGTTTTCAGTATGTTATTTTTTTTAGCCTGTTTGGGGAGCTAGTTCAGGTGATAATGAAGACTTTACCAGAAGAACCAGTTTGAGTAAAGATGAAACTGAGACTTGCAGGTGGAATACTCATATTCAATGTGTAATAATCCTATTACATGATCCAAGGCTAAAAAAAATACAGTGTGAAATAAAATTGTTAACTGCATAGATACTGTTCCTTACAGTATTGTGCGTTTGACAATTTACCGAATCGGATATATTCAAAGTGCTCTAACCCCTGCTGTGGAATCTTTCCTTCAGCAATCAAAGTGTACATACTTATAAATGCATATATGTGTGCGCATATGTCTTTTTTATCCTTCGCTAACAGCCCCGGTCCAAAGCCTTCTAGCAAAGGGACTTGATTCCTGTCAGGGGTTGCTGCCAAGACATTGGAAGGATTTTTGACCAAGGTTCTCTAAAGCTCAGTGTCACACCTGCCATGCTTTACAAAGGAGGGGGTTTGGATGTATAGTCCTAGCATCTACTGGGTACTTTGTGTGGGATTTTTCTTTTGTTTTTGTCTTTTTCCTATAATTAAGCAGTGTTCATACTAGTCTTGAAATAGTTGACTAGATAAAATGTATTTCACATAATAAAACTTACTGAAATTTATATACCTTTTATTTTTTAATGAAGAGGTAGTGTGGACATGGCATGTCTAACTGAAGATTAACCCCTTATATTTAGGCTAGTAAGTAGGATAGGGTAAGAATTTGTGCTTTTGTTTGTGAATTAATTCAGTTCTTTGTCTTAGCTTAACAGGGTGGTAGCTTAGACATCTGAATTTAGTTAAATAGTCTTTAAGGGGGCTAATCATAAAATGTGAAACAGATGCAAAAATCCACAGATTAAGTATTACAAGTCTTTCCTTGATACATTTTTTCAGTCAATGTATTCTCAGTGCAATAGGTGCCTTGCAACTTCTGACTTAGTCAGAATTTCAGGGGTATTCATATATCTATTAGTAACACATTTTAGATTGACATTTCCAGCACTAAGATTCTCTTCTGTGCACTTAAACGGTAATTCTTTTTAGTAAAATTATTTTCCAAATTCAATTTTTTCAGAGCTAGAATTAATTGGAATTTTTAATTATGTAATGAATCATTAAATTGTCAGAGTTGGAAGGGACCTCTAGAGATCATCTAGTCCAACTTCCCCGCTAAAGCAGGATCCCCTAGAGCACATTACTCAGGACTGCATCCAGGTGGGTTTTGAATATCTCCAGAAGAGGGGACTCCACAACCTCCCTGGGCAACCTGTTCCAGTGCTCTGTCACCATAAAGAAGTTTTAACCTCATATTTAAATGGAACTTCCTATGTTCCAGCTTGTGCCCGTTGTCCCTGGTCCTGTCACTGGGAACTACTGAAAAGAGTCTGGCTCCATCCTCCTTGCACCCACCCTTTAGATACTTGTAGGCATTAATAAGGTCTCCCCTCTGCCTTCTCTTCTTCAGGCTAGAGAGTCTCAGCTCTCTCAGCCTTTTCTCATAAGGGAGATGCTCCAGTCCCCCAGTCATCTTTGTTTCCCTCTGCTGGACTCTCTCTAGCAGTTCCCTGTCTCTTGAAGTGTGGAGCCCAGAACCAGGCAAAGTATTCCAGATGTGGCCTCACCAGGGCAG